AAAAAAAAAAAAAAAAAGCTAAAGACATCAAGCTTGTTTTTGAAGCAGAAATGATGAAACGTGGAATCATAACCGGATTTATGTTTTATGCATTTCAAGTTAACAAGCATTGGCATTTCCATTAGTCAAAGCAGTTTAAATGTACAAGACGCTCTCAGATACTTCAAGAAGGGATAAAACACCAATAAATACATGAAGACTGTTTGATCAACACTAGAAAAGCAGCAGAAACCTCTATGAAGTTTCAAGATTCAAGATTTTTTTTTATTTTTTTGAAGTAAAAAAAATAAAAGCACTTTTTGAAGTGCTGCATAATATACCCCCAAAACCACGTCTGGTATTTCACATGTCAAATACTGGTTGTATTTCAAATAGTGCAATAAGAGGACACTTTACAAGTAATTCCCCACTTGAGCCATGTGTTCTGTTTCCCAATATAAAGAGCTTTAGATCAGGCGAGAGCAGCTTCAGCAGGAGCTCAAAAGACTGGAGCATGTGCCAAGAGAGAGAAAGAAAAAGAAAAAGAAAAAAAAAAAAAAAAAAAAAAATTCACAATGAGGTCAACAAATCAGACAGACCCTTGGCACTCAGTAAAGGCTAGTCGTCTATGACATTTATATGGAGTGTTCTGGAATAATTAAGAATGGGAGTGAACCACGTCGGCTACATGCCCTTGAGTAGCGCAGACTACTTGAATATGAAAGGTTCAACTCCGGCCAGCATCTAAAGCAATCATGCCACCTATGACCCACTTCACACTAAATAACGCATTTCTTACAGACAAGTACTCATTGACATCGAAGCAAATTCAGTAAACATGCTAGGTGCATCTCGGGCTGACGGATCAATCTGAGAGCGAGCTGCTTATTACATTAATGTTGTGCCGGAAAAGGCTGATTGCTCTGCTCCATTCAATCAGCCAATCAAACAGCAGCATCTCAAACAAGGAGCTTTGGCTCTAATTAGCAAGTCAGATGAGCTGGAAACCATCTGGCTGGATGATTCAGACTGAATAAAAAAAAAAAAATTAAAAAAAACCCTGATACAAGAGTCTAAGAAGATCTGGTCTGGTTACCAGCACCAGTCACTGAGGACTCGTTTTTTTGGAAGGAAGCATTTCTCAAACCACTGAGTGTAAACAAAACGTGTTGAGCTTCCTTCCTCAGATAATGACGTTGGGGAGGGAAACTGTAAAGAAAAGCGGAAGACTGTACCAGCAGGGAGGACTGGAGGTGCTTTGGAACAACAGTAAAGATTTTTAAGATGTCATGATCAGGCCGGCAAACAGATCCCACCTGTTTTTCATGTTTAGTTGGGTTTGTTAAGACTAGCATCGCTAGGGATGGGTTTCGTTAAAGGGGTCATATGATGCTGCTAAAAAGACTTTACAGATCTTCTTTATGCACCAAGAGCTTGTAACACTCCAAAGAGAAAGGAAAAACTGAAATCTCATCATATGACCCCTTTAAGGTTTTAAGTGTATTACTACTCTTACAGATACTGCTTATCGATCTGGTACTTTAATGGTAGGGGTGTAATGGTACACAAACATTACGGTTCGGTACGCACCTCGGTTTTGATGTCACTGTTTGTTACAGTTTCGGTACAGCAGGGGGGAAAACTAAAATTTTTTTGTTATTAAACTGTGTAAAATTAACAAATTGCTCTCTTTAAATAAACTCCAGTATAATTACTTTTCTTAATGATAAAAATCTACCTCGGCTTATGCTCTAGTGAGCCCTTTTACATTAGGCCTACTATAAAGGTTACAGTTAACAGAGCCCGAACAAATTTAATTACCATTTATTTATAAATATAACAAGCAACACTCAACTTAAAAAAAAATAATTATGCAAACATGTAAATTGCACATAATATAGTTTTTAAATTGACTTCTAAATTAATATATTTCAACAAATACAGATTTTATAATTTACACAGTGCCTCTCATAACTCGTTTCATAATAGATTTATTTAAACATTAAATATAAGACATCACTAACAGGTAAAGTAAAATATAATGAGTAGTTATATAGTCTAATATTTCGCAAAATGCTCTTCTTCATTTATAGCACACTAACGAGTTGTGGACACTGATGACTGCCTGAGGTAAATGAAATGCTACGTGACGTTTTTTTTTTTTACAAACTGTTTTTATTGCCATCTTTCCGTGGAAACCCCGGACGGAATCCAGTTATAAAAACGGAAATTATAGGGTGGTTGTGTACACGCACTGCCAACACACATTTCAGTTCTTAAACAACTTGTAAACTTGTATCACCACGGGGGCGGGCGTTCCCTCTTTTCCTCGCTTTCCTTCACTTTTAAACTAACAGGTAAAGTAAAATATAATGAGTAGTTATATAGTCTAATATTTCGCAAAATGCTCTTCTTCATTTATAGCACACTAACGAGTTGTGGACACTGATGACTGCCTGAGGTAAATGAAATGCTACGTGACGTTTTTTTTTTTTACAAACTGTTTTTATTGCCATCTTTCCGTGGAAACCCCGGACGGAATCCAGTTATAAAAACGGAAATTACTGTTTAACGCGGAATGTCACGGAATTTGTCAAAGTTTGGATGAATTAATCAAAAGTAGGTCATTACATGTAAATCACGATATGGACTAGTATCTGCAAATATTAAGCAGCAAAAAGACTATCTAAATATGAATCCTGCATGATCTGCGCGTCTCTGTTTGAATGAAAGGTGCAGATGCGCGGTTTCGTTTATTACACGCATACTGAAGCGCGCCTGACGGTCACAGTGATTTCAGCGTCTGCTGCCTCACTAAATGAGGACATAAATACATGAACATCTCCAAAATGCTCTGAGAGTCACTTCATGAGCATTTTACCATTTCATTTGAGTAAAACTAACAGTTAGCGTCATATTATATGCACACAGAAATTTAAAGGTATTCACAGCAACCCGTAAAAATAAAAGTTTGGTTTAACTTGAAGACATTGTGTCAAATATATTACTATTGTTCAGAAGAATGCACGAAATTCTACTACTACAATTACTACAACTTTATTTAAAGGGGTAAAAATTAGCAAACAATGTGGAACCAATTAAATAAGAAACGAATATTTAAAAAAAAAAAAAAACGGCAAAAGTCAACAGGCTTTTCAAAATCCAAAGTATTGCCAAACAGACGCTTTTGCATCTCGTTTCGAAACTAAATCATCCGCGATCGTCTTGTCTGTCTCACCTCACCCCACTCTTCTTGTCAGTCAGCTCGACTCACTGGTGGTGGGGGTCGATGCCGCGGTGGGCAAGTGACGTAACCGGTGTTGCAGCTTAACACCGGTATCACCGTCTATCGCTGCAAGCCTAGTTCAGTATCGATAATTATATTTTTTTATAACCTTTTTTAAAACAAAGCGCAATAGAAATTTTTTTTTTAATTTAACCACTGTATTTTTAAATTAACCCAATTTATTGAGACAAACAACAAATATTTTTTGTTTTAACAATCAAACACAATTAAAATTAAACATATCTCCTTTCTAATGTTTTATATGCAGATGAAATAGGTCTTAAGGCCGGGACACACCAAGCTGACTTCAAAGAACTAGCAGCGACGAAAGCCGAC